TAACCCGTGTGACATAGAAGAGGGCATACAGGCAAGCCTTTAGGATATACATAGAAGGAAAATGAAACAAACACACCAAATTATATGGAATCAAGTAAAGAAGTACTAAGACAAAAAAATTGTAACAGTAAATGGTTATGTTAGAAATGAAAGATTTCATTTGTCTGAGTTCTTACCTTTTGAAACAAAATTAACAGCACAATAAGCCCAAAGCAAGCAGAGAAAGAAATAAAGATAAACAGAAATCAATGAAATTAGGAAAAGGAAAATAATGTAGAAGATGAGTAAAATAAGTTTTTTGACTTTTGATTTTTTTAGGGAAGGGTCTACAGGTTGTTCAGGATCTCACTACTAGATCGGACTTGTTTACAGCCTCCCAAGAACTGAGATGACAGGCATGCGCCACCATGCCCAGTCTCAATTGCCCTCTCAGCACCCGGGGCCAGCATGGCAGGCCTGAGGGTTGAACCCCTGGCCCTTGAGCCTGCTTGTAGGCGCTTTAATCCACTGAGCTATTTGGCCAACCCTAATAAGTTTGTTTTTTAAAGAATGATAACATGCATTGATTTTTTAAGAACATGATGAAAATAAAGATAAAAACTGCCAATATCACAAATAAAACAGAATTAGTATTACCTTTAAAAGGATAATGAAGTAGTATGAATAAGTTTATGCGCAGAAATTCAATAACGAATTGAATAACAAAACGAACTGACTCCTGAAAAGCTGCAAGTTGCCAATCAAACCAAGATGCAACTGAAAGCCCAAGCGGTCCTGCGGCTGCCAGGGAAGCGGAGTCTGTAATTCTAAGGTTTCTAGAAGCCGCGCTCCAGGCCAATATGGCTTCACTGCAGGACTCTAACAAGCATTTAAAGAATTAACACTAAATTAGCACAATCTTTTCCAGGACATAGAGGAAGAAAGACTGTCCCAGTTGATTTCACAAAGTTGAAGTCATTACTCTCTACCAAATCACACAAAGAAAATACAAAAAGTAAAATAGCATAAAAAACTTACAAACCAACATCTCCCCTGATATTTAATGGAAAAATCCTTAACAAAATAACAAGCCAAATCCAGCACGCATTATTAAAAGAATTATACACAATGATGAAGTGAGTTTATTTTAGCCACTTTAGGCTGACTCAGTGAAACACTGAGTTATTACTCAGTGCTAGTTCCTAAAATAGGTTAGTTCCTAGTATCGTCAGATCCACAGAGGCCGAGCGAAGAGGAGTGGTACCCCCTTATCACAGAGTGAGCGACAGGAAAAATCATATATTTGTGTCAGTTAATACAGAAACAAAAGCTGTTAATAAAGTCCAGTGCCATCTCATGGACTAAACTCTCAGCAAACTAGACAAAGGACACCTTCCTCCATTTGGCAAAGATTATCTGCCAGCACTTGCAGCTAGTATCGTACGTGGTGGGGAAGGATTGAACATTTCCCCGGTAAGATCAGAAACGAGAGCTGGGCTTGCTGGTGCAGTCTGTAAGCCCACCGCCCAGGAGGCTGGGGCAGGAGCCTCCCTGCAAGTTCGAGGCCAGCCTGGGCTACAGAGAGAGTTCAAGGCCAGCCTGAACTGCATAGTAAGGAGAAGAGCCTGTCTTAAAAGGCCAAAAGTACACAAAACTAGATCAAGAACAAAGATACCCACTTTTTACTGCTCTTATTAACCATAGTGCTGGAAGATTAAGCCACTGAAATATGCCAAGAATAAGAAATAAATGTAGAAAGATTATAAATGAAACAATATTTGCAGATAGCATGATTGACTATGAACAAAATTCCATAAAGGAAAATGAAAACATCTAGAAATACAAAGTTAGTTCAGCACGTTATACTCTTACAATATTAGCACACAAAAATCAATCACTTTGGAACATTTGAACATTGAATTTGATCTCCAGGCATGGTGGCTCATGCCTGTAATCCCAGCACTCATGAGGCTGAGGCAGGAGGATCACTGTAAGTTCAAGACCAGCCTTGGCTATAAAGTGAGCTCAAGGCCAGCCTGAATTGCATAGCAAGAAAGACCCTGTTTCAAAAAGATGACAAGAAAAGAGAGAGAAAACTGAATTTAAAGTCAACATAGTACTGCGTATAGCCAGTGTAAAATAAATAGACACAAATTTAAGTAAACAGGTAGAGGATCTGTATGCTTAAAAGGACAATATACCGATGAAATAACTAAAAGAAGACTAAAGAATGGATAGTTATACTATTTTTATGGATTGGAAGGCAACATAGTTGAGTTAATGATCATCCCCAAACTGATCTGTCAGTTTAATAGAATTCCTATTAAAATCCTAGCAAGACAATTTGTAAACATGCACAAATTTATCCTAAGAGATTTTTTTGTGTGGAAAAGTACAGGCTGTTGAGTAACTAAAACAGCCCTTATTATCTGAAAGCTAAGTATGTCTCTTTTCTAGTAAAGACAGTATAATATTAGGGGTGGATAGATTTTAAAATGGAACAGAATGGAGAGCCCCAAAACTGACCCACACAAATATGCTCCACTGCATTTTTACAAAATTTATATTGCCAACTATGCAACATCAAGCTTCAGCCACTTAAGGGCACACAGTTCAGGGGCGCTAGGTGCGTTCATACTGTTGGGGAGCGGTCAGCATCCTCCCCCTCCACGGTGTTTTCATCTTCCCACACCAAGACTGCCTGTTCTTCCCGCCGGGACCGCAGGGTACCACGTACCACTCCCCTTCACTTGGCCTCTGTGAATCTGACTATTCTAGGAGCTAACCTTTGACAGAAGTACAAAAATAATTCAGGTGGAAGGATGACTTTTTCAACAAATGGTGCTGGACATCCACAGGCCAGAAACAAACTAAGAAATGAGCCTTAAGATAAACTCACGTCTTACCCAGAATTTAACTGAAAAAAGGTCACAGACTTGTAAGTGTGCAATATACACCTATGAGACCTTTGGAGAGTCACCCTGGAGAACATCTTTGCACCAGTACTGGTGAAGAGTTCTTACATTTGGCAACAAAAGCAGGATACAGAAGAAACAAAGCTGAGAAAGTCAACCTCCTCAAAATTGGCAATGTGTTCCCTGGGGGACCCTGTAAGCAGGATAAACAGATTGAGAAAAAGTATTTGCGAACTATATGTTCCATAATTACTTATACTTAGGATATATAAATTAAACAAATAGTAAAAAAGAAAATCCAATTTGAAAATCGGCAAGGAACAGAAACAGATGTTTTACTGAAAACACTTTATGAGTCACTTTATGTTACTGTGACAAATACCTGAGACAATCAACTTACAAAGAGAAAAGCTTTCATTTCGCCAGTTGCCTTGAAGGCCCCGATCCCACGTTGTGACAGTCCTGTGGCTGAACCAGTGCTTCCTCCCTGACCGGGCCATGAAAGGCGGAGATGGAGGGGGCGGTCCTCCCTTCTCGGAGCGCTGACAGGACCCGAAGCTGCCCACCAGCCGCACACTCTAATCGTTCCATCACTCCCCAAAATGTCAAGAGCCGAACCATCGCAGAAATGCGCAGACGGCATCTCAGCAGAGACCCACAGATGACACACACACGTACAAAGATACACAGTGTCCCCAGTAACGAGACACAAATTAAGACCTTGGTGACAAAGCGTCACACACCTATGACAATGCTAAAGTAAAATGCAGTGGCAACGCCAAACACGAAGGTGGAAACCCCGAGCCACTCCTACTTTGCTGGTGGAAATACCGAACAGCTCAGTGACTGTGAAGTGGCTCAACGGTTTCTCATGAAACTGCCCAGCTGCCGTCTAATCCAGCTTTCCCATTCCAGAGCACTTAAGTAAAGAAACTGCCCGCACAGAAGCCTTCGCACAGACTTAGAGTAGCTTTATTTAAACAGTTGAAACTGGATAAAATCCAGCTGCCCGTCAACAGGCGAAGACTGAACACACTGATGCGTGGAAGCCAGAGCGCAGCGCGCCGCAGCGCAGACCCCTTGGGCGTTGCCGGGAGGGCCGCTGGCTGGGTGGGGACGCGCTGCGAGGGATCCGCACTCTTTCACATTCGCAGGACAGCTGCGCGCGACCTCACAAGCGCAGACATGCAGGCTAGGGAGGTGGCAGCCGGCGGTCCTGTGAATGGTCGGGGAGGGAGGTGAGTGCAGCTACAAAAGAGCCCCGGAGGCTTCCTTGGTCCTCGCCGTGGGCATCCTCCCTGTCCTTGCTGCATCGAGGTCAGCGATCTGGCCTTGGCCATGGCACATGAGTTTGGTAAGCTTTTCCCATGGGGAGAAACAAGGTAAGGTGTGCCCGGACCCTTATGTGTTCTCATTACTCCAGGCAACTCTGCCAGTGTCTAAGAAGGCTGATTAAACAAACAAACAGAACAGCATACTGCTTCCACGCAACCAGAAGGCCAGTAGGTTCTGTCGGAAGTATCCAGGCTCAAGGTCCTACCCAGAGGAGGATGGAGACCCGCACCATCTCTCAGACCCTTCTACCCCGACATTCTAGATATGGGTGGAGAAATGAAATGAACAGGGCCATCACTTTCTCTGCGTTTTTTTGTTTTGTTTTTTAGTAAGGCAGTTTGCAAAGATGTCAGCCCCTAGACAGCTTGCAGAACACTAGGCAGCCTTGGAAACCTGCACGTTGGGGAGAGGCCGCCATTCAGTGTTTAGCCAGTGTGCCGCGGAGCCTGACTTCTCCGGAATGTGGGGATCCGCGCCTGAGGCCAGGCAGCCACTTGATGCCAGGCTCGCTGTGAGGCACTCTGGAGCAGGCCGCCTGCGGCCGCCCCTCAGCACCTGGGCTTGACCAGAACCTTCCCAGCCTCTCGGAGTTTCAGCTTCTTGTGCAAGTCCAACAGACAAAGTAAAAGCTGTTCACTGCAGTTGTGGTAGGGTGCTGTGGCATGTAGTTCATGGGGCAGAATGAATTGTTTGCTGCCGCGTTGTCCAATTACAATTTCCCTTTAGATCATGAAATGGGATTTAAATTCTACCACCTTCTTGTCTTTCTAGTCATGGTTCATCAGAACGTATTAAGATTCAGAACCAAAGGTTATATGAAGTTGGAGGAAATATAGGTAAGTGTTTATTCATCATTTGTATCTCTAAAATTTCAAATTAGTCTAAGAGAAATATGTTGCTAATGTTATAAAAGTATATTTTACAAGTTTCTTAGCTTAAAAGCGACTAGGATGTTCTGGGTTGTTTTGGATCTTGTGAAATAAGTGTTCTGATGTGTCTGCCAGTTCTCCAGATCTAGGTGGAGCTGGGAGTGTGGCGCTGGGGGGACTCTGGCATCTTCCCAGTAAGACACTGGTTGGAAAGTCTCTTCCCGAAGACTCACAGGGGGAAAACAAAGAGAGAACAGGATTTCCCAAAGTTGGCCATCCTTCTTGCGTGCTGTCCCTATTTTAGCTCACAGCCCAGGATCTGTCTCTCTTTCCTGTTGTCCTGGTGGGGGTGGAGGATGGGAAGAAACTTGGGCTCCGTCTGCCCCGCTCTTCATCCTCCCAGCCTTTCTCACTTTGTTTCCAGCACGCCTATGTGGGGTGCACCTCCACCTGGTGCCCCAGGCTTCTGTTGGTCCCCACAGTCATCTCTTGCCAGGGGCTTCACATGCTCGGGCACTGCTAGGGTGGCCAGCCCTTGGCCGGCCTCTGTCCCCTCACCTCTGCTATCTCTGTGCCAGCCCATTGCCCTTCGTGTTCCTGGCTCATGCATGCCCCTGACAAGCCTCCTCTGCTGGTTTTGTCTGATGTTCTCTCACATTTAACCTATTTATTTGCTAGTCGGGTGCCTGTGGGCATGTTTGTGGCTGACAGATGCAATGCCCAGGCCCCAGGACAGGGCCCAGCACATCTGGAGAGCTGTCCTGCTATGGGCGTCACCAACAGCCAAGCAACCACATGAACGTTCCTAAAATGTGCTAGAGTCTGCCCTGGCCCACGCAGGCTACCTGTAAAGCCGCCACAGGACAGGTGTCGGCATGCCATCCACACACTCCTGAAACAGACTCTTGTCTCGGTTTCTGTTTGATGTGGGAAGGCCAGGGTGCTAAGGCAGGCAGGGACACCCAAGGGACACCAGGACTTGGAAGCAGGTTCATTCATGTCTGCAGGCGCTGGCCGGGACCAGATCATCAGGCCCTACTCACTGGGGGCCGAGGACTCACCTGGGGTGAGCAGGCGGGAAGGAGGGAGCAGAAGGCTGGGCAGCGGGCTTGGCTTATACGGTGTGCAGCACGGTGGCCAGCCATTCCTAAGAGCTGGGAGCAGCCGGAACTGGACGAAATAGGAGCTGGTGTCTGGGCAACTAAGAGACTGGCGTGCACTGACTGGGGCAGGGCAGCATTTTCTGTCACGAGGTATGTCTGGGTTTTTTCCACATTTTTTTTTAGACAGCATCTCAGTCTGAAGCCCGGGCTGTTGCCTCAGTCTCCTGATTGCTGGAATTACAGGGGTGCACCACCATGTCTAGCCTTTTTCCCCACAATTTCTTATGAGATTTATTTGAATTACTTCTCAGTAAGAAAGACAGAGAGGCTTTGTAAAGAAAGTTTAAAATGTATACACTTCCCTTTGGTGGGGAGAACTATTATTGGCCCCACTGGAACCTGACACACGTAAGTCATGTGTGGTGCACACCAGAAAGGGGTGATGTCTTGGAGACACTCTGGTTTTTCTCTTCTTTCAGGACAGCATTGCCTGGATCCAGATGCATATGTATTGGATGTATATCGTGTGAATCCTCATGCAGAATGGGTGATTAAGCCACAACCAAGCCCTTGAAAGACCCCCAAGGGGCTGTTTCTGCATGTTGTCACCTGAGAAGCTCTTACTTGTGGTGGGGAGAGCAAGATTGCCTGGACGTGCCTGTCCCTGTGCCTGTCCCTGCCGCCCTTGTCCCGAGGGCTCTCCAGCTTTGTCACTGTGAACTATGGAGAAGAGGCTTCAGCACTCCAGCCAAACTTTCTCCACATTTCTTTGATAAAGGAAGAAGACGGGCCCCTTCCAGAAGGCAGGCACCGTGGCCTGTGGAGCTCCGTCATTTCTCGTGTCTGATTCTGCAGCAGACATGAGCGTGACCTGGGGACAAGTGGCGCCTCCTTCTGGAGCCAGTGCTACCAACGAGAGAGAGAGACTCTGTTCGGGTTTTTTTCAGTACTTATGTTATATGCATATATTGACTTTTTTTGGTAAGAGTGCCAGAAACAGCCTTAATTTCTCCCCTATAAGATTCTCCACATCTGTTTTCCAAAGGGAATCAGTTTCTAAAGTGAAACAGACACTGTTTATGCCCGGCATGACTCCTGGATTGGAGGAGGAACTTCCTTCTAAAGAAAACTGTCACTCCAAATGTCACGCCGAGTGACGGCTGTCATCAGTGTACAGAGAGCGTTTCTGTGTGCCCGAGTATCAAAGTGATGTTTTGTGGCTTGGCGCCTTTTGAGGACACTGCCCACGGAGCATCGGTGCGGCACAGCATCCAGCCCTCCTGGGCCCTGCGCTCCCAGTCGCAGCCCCTGCCTCCCTCCGCAGCCCTGCTCAGGGAGAACCCGCCCTGTGCCAGGCGATTTCCTTCTGCAATCACACACACTTGGTGGTTTTTGCTGTTTTTCACATTTCATGATTGTAGGGAGTGATTTCTTCCTGCAGCCCCACCTGAAAACACAGAATTGCTTTTACTTGAGAGTGCTAAAAAATACCCTTCCCTCCAGGTTTCACAAGCTCTCCATACAGAGGTTGCTTTTGTTCATTAACTGTGGACATGGCCGAGGCCTGAGGAGGAACAGCAGGCAGCGGGTGGGGTCAGGTGCGCACTGGGAAGCCGCAGTGGTCTGCAGTGGAAGCCGCAGTGGTCTGTCCGCCGGGTTTCTGCCGCTGGCCACGGTGCGGTCCTCATGTTTCCAATTTAGAGCAGATTGAAAGCCTGCTAAGGAGGGGCAGCGCTGCCCTCCCTATAGGGTCGCAGGTGCCGTCTCCCTAAGACCAGTCCTGAATGAAGTCCGACCTCTCACCGCCTCCTCCTGCAGATACTTAGTGTGGAATCCAGACAGACCGGGACGGAGTCGAGGCCCGTAGGACTCTCACCTGCAGGTCGATGTGGAGTCACACACACAGGAAATGTTTTTGCTTTACCAAGCGTCCTGGTAGCGCGGCAGGACCTGTAAGTGCACTTAGGGAGGCGGTCGCGTGCACGCTGCCTCACGCCGCGGCTTACATTCCACACGCACAGTTGTGCTTCTGGCCTCTGAGCTTCTGCTAGACTTTTGTAAGAAACACAAAGACATGTTCACTTAATGTGCTTGAGAATGCTTACTTCCTTTGCCAGATAACCCGTGAGAAAGGAAACGTGAGCGTGACGGGTTCATAGTTCTACCTGTTTCATTGGTTTTCAAGTGTGCTGACTTGGTGGCGTCTGAGTTTATGTCGTGGGCTTCCCGAGTGTGGGGAAAACAGAATGTCCACCGTTGTGGCAGCAGCAGTGGTTGCAAGTGGCTCTTTCTGTACTTGCCAAGTCCTGAGAATTTACGTGGCAAGGATCTGGTGTGGGCGTGGCAGACGGCTCCCAAGCGGTGGCCTGCCCTTCCAGCTCTGTCTGAACCTGACGCTTCTCACCGAATCTCATAGAACATTGAAGTTCTGTTGTGATTGCACGTAACATCACAGATGCGTTCATTCATTATTTTTATGACGGAGGCTCCATTTCTTTTGATCCACAACACATTAGAACGTGTCTGAAATTCTAAAGATTCTCAAATTTACCCCTCTTGTCACCAGGCTTGTCACAGGGACCCAGAGATGGTAAGTGGAATACAGTCCACCTCTGAATTTCTTAACCATTTTGTGTGGTTTCAGATGACAAAGACTTGACCCTCCCTTTCTATCACCCACTTCCCTTTGTCCAAGCCTCCCGACAGCGTATGATACGGATGGGTAAGTCAGTATCAAAATCATCAGAGAGAACTTTTATTCTTGATCATCTAGCTAATTGATGAGAGAAAAAAATTGTAGACATAACAAAAGCCAATAGTGCGGTTAAAGAAGTTCTTTTGCCTACTGTTATTCTTAAAGACTAAACAAACCCCTCCCGTTAAACCCAAAACTGCCTGCCACCCAAGGATTGAAAGGATTAAAAGACAACAAAGTGTTGTTTTTGTAAAACTTCAGTAACCAGAAAGCAAATGGCATCTTTGCAGACAAGTGGGAGGTCCTGTACCCGGATCATAAGTGCTATCTTTTTGTTGTTGTCTGAGACAGTCTCACTATGTAGTTCAGGCTGGCCTTGAACTCACTAAGCAGCCCGTGCTGACCTCACACTGCCTGTGATCCTCCTCCCTCCTCTGAGTGCCGGAATGACAGGCATGCGCCCAGGCCCATAAAGGTTGTTCTTAATGGCTTCTCCCTGCACCCCATCCCAAGTGCTCTTGGTACACACTTTGGACCACGATGTCCTCCAGGAAACGCCCGAGGACATCGTTAACATTTATTAACATTATTCAGGAAACTCCTAGGACTGGCTCATGTTTCCCTGCATTCCGCATGCTTCTTGGAGTCAGTGACAATGGGACAAACTGGAAAGCCACTTCACAGTCGCCGGCAGCATAAACTACCTCACGTGCCTTTCTCGGACAGTGTCTATTGCAGCCCGTCCCTGACTCATATTTAAGTTGCCTCAGTTCACTGTCAGTGTACATTTGGTAATAGACATTTGGTGGTGTCAAATACGTTTAGCGAAAGCTCTAAAGCCACAGAGTGCTCTGTCATAGGACCAGGGGTGGAAGCCCTGGGCCTTGGGGCCGGTGGTGGTCGTCTCGGCTTCCAGATGTGTGGTTTCCAGAGGTGGGAATCACTATTCCTCTCTCCTTTCAGTCCTTTTCAACTGCCGTGTGTGCATTTCGTGACTGAAAAATAATACGAGATTACGGAAGTCCAGCAGGCATGTTCCACTTGTTTCTCATACATGTGTTTCTCATACTTGCCTGAAAGGGTTGTATCCAGTGGAACTGACTGATTCCCCCAACTCACACTCATCAGCGTATCCATAAATGTCACTTAATAAAAAGTAGTAGGATGTGGAATTGAAATATTCCTTTCAAGCATTTCAACAGCTTTTACACACATGCTTAATTTTAAAATCACATCTTTTCTTTCATTCATTTTCAAGTTTTTCTTGAAATTCTAATCGTGAATCCTGTGTCCCTGGAAATGCCGATGCTGCGCGTTTTCTCCTTTCTCTTCCTGTCAGCTTTCATTGTTAAGTAGAATGTTTGTTGCATTTTATCCATAAAAATAAAGAGAAAAGCTGAAAGTACTGTCGCAAGGCTTGTTCTGCTGCGTAGGTCTGAGGGGATGCAGTACTGGTCTGGAGCTCTATCGTTGGTTTGTTCTGAGCCCATCTCGGGCACTTAGAAGCCAGGTGGTGTCGGGACAGAGCTCCCTGGCACCCTGGTAGTGGCTGGTGCCGGGGGTTGGAGGAGAAGTGAGGGGAGTGAGCATCAGGGGTTGCCCAACCTACTGCTTGTCTGGATGGGTTCTTAGGGTGTGACTTCAGTGCGCATGTGCATACGTGTGCTCACGATCCTTTCACTGAACACAGAAAAGACATCTGAGAAAACGCTGTGCTCATTCAGCTTTTCTAAAAAGTTGAACATTTTACTATGTATGCAGTACAAAAGGCAAAGAATGGAAATAAGACTCATACAAGCTAGAAAAGTAACGTGGCCCCCGCTGGGTTCGGTGGTGCATATTTGTTACCCCAGCCTCTCAGAAGACAACTTGTTTTGCATTGTGATTAAAAGCAAGATACTCAGATAACTTGGGTACATGTGGAGTAGAGACTGATGGATTGAGAAAGATGACAGATGATAGATGATAGTCAGATAGATAGATAGATAGATAGATAGATAGATAGATAGATAGACGGACGGACAGACAGTAACGCGCTGCGCTGGGTCTAGCCAAGGGCTGATGGCTTGTGCTGGCAGCCTGCCAGTGCACTATTCCCTGGCTTGCAATGTCCCGTAACGGAGTTCTGCCTCCCTCGCCAGCCTGCTTATGCGTGCTCCTATCGGTTGTTTATTTATGAATTTGTGCCTGGCAGTAATCCATTCCAGGTAATCGCCCTGTCATCTAGCAACATCACTAGTGTCCTAGAGCACATGGTCTGTCCCCAGACAACAGGGGCCTTTAGTGTCATCGGTGAGCCTTGCTCACTCTGTGTCGCTCCACACCGCCTTGGGCCTTGAGCCAATCACAGAGTAGCATTTACGCGTGATGAGGAGAGCAACGTAAAGTGTTCGGCCAAACTGCCGTGGAGGCGATTTTCTAGTTACACCAATCTTCCAATGCTTTGTTTTAGAGGAGTAACATTATCAGCTCTAAGTCAGATCTCAGAAATCTTTTTTTTTTTTTTTTCTGTACAGAAATCGAACTCGGGACCTTTGCTTGCCAGGCAGGCACTTACGCTGCTATCTCTCCGGCCCCTGATCTCAGAAACCTTTATGCTGTGCCTCAGTTCTCACCAGTAACCCTGTTGTTCTAGTTTCAATTCTATGTCAGTTACATTGTCCCTAGTCCTGCAGCATTTGATTCAGCAATGAAATAGTTCAGAAGTATGAAAAAAAGTCATAGAGTTAATACCCACCGCAGGCATTCCACCCATGTTGAAAGCAGAGGCGTCCCCGACTTCTCAGCCACCTCTCTTTGACCGAGTCAGGAGCTCACAAGCTCTAGGGTTCCCTGCCCATGACGCCAGGGGCCGCGATCGGCTCAAGATACTAGGCGAGGTCACGGTGCACAGACGTCGGCCGCTCATCCAGGACCGAGGCAGAGCGGAGGGAAACCGTGGAGGGCAGGGAGTACAAGGCAGCGCCCCAAAAGGTCACCCAGAGGGGCAGCCTCAGGGTGACCCTCCTTTCTCCCACAGTGCCTGTTACAGCCAGAACCCTCTCCTCTTGTGTTGCGCTGCCCACACTGAGGGAAAGATTTCTCTCACAGCCATGTAAGTGCACATTTACATCACGAGCTCCGTCGAGCTGGTCTCCAGCCACCCAGACGCCCAGGAGAAGGGAGTTAGAGCATTATCCCGAAGTCAGGTCCCACACAGACAAGAAGGGCTCCGGCCTTCCTCTGCTTGGTGGGTTTGCAGCCCGCTCACCACGTCAGTGTACATACACGAGTGTTTACACTGAGCACAAGGCTCGCCTTTTCAGGGGATAGCAGCCTGCCTTTCATCTCTAGGCCTGCCCAATTAAATATATAGAGTCCGTCCTAATGACCCTCCCATATTTTCACCCTGGGAATTATAGACATTTCTACGTTAAGTAACTATACATGATACTGTTTAACCTCAAATCTTAGCGCAGCATAATTTTTATGCAGTTTGACAAGTGTCCCATCGTCAACACATCGGAGAAAAACTCAGCTATCACTAGCAACTCTGACTTTATGGTTCCTCAAGTCCAAAATCCTTTTTACTTATTGTGCTGGTGCTGGGGATTGAACCCAGGGCATTCACACTGAGCTACATCCCAAGCCCTTTTTATTTTTTATTTCAAGATAGTCACTGAGTCATTAGGTTGCTTGGGCTGGGCTCAACGCTGTAGCCCTACTGCCTCAGCTCCCCAGAGGGCTGAGGCTGCAGCGTGAGCTAGCATTCCTGCCTCTCAAGCCCAATCCTGGAGGCCTGGGCCTCTACTCTTGCCCACCTCAGCCTGTTGAGAAGCCTCAGAATCGTCAGGATTGGGAGCCAGGCTCAGCCACTCCCTGGAGGACCCTGACACACCCAGATTCCTGGTTGCCAGCTTTCTGGGTTTCTCTTTATTCCTGACTG